TTCCTCCTCCTCCTCCTCCTCCTCCTCCTCCTCCTCCTCCTCCATCTCCACCTCTCCCTTCTCTTCCTCCTCCTCATCTTCCTCCTCCTCATCCACCTCCCCCTGATCCTCCTTCTCCTGCTTATGTTTCTCCCCCTCGTCATCCTTTTCTTCATCCTCCTCCTTGTCCTCATTGTCGTCCTCCATTTCCTCCTCATCCTAGTCTTCACCCTCCTCCTCCTCCTCCTCCTCCTCCTCTCCTCCTCTCCCTCTTGCGCGCCTCCCTAATCATCTATCATTCATCATCATCATCATCATCTCATCATCATCATCCTCACCCTCTCCTCCTCCACCTCCTCCGTCACATCCTCCTCCTACTCCGCCTCCTCCTCCTCCTCCTCCGTTCCACCCCCTCTTCCTCCGTCTCCTCCTCCGCATCATGTGTCCTACGTGTTCCTCTCGTGTTCCTCACTTCCTATTATTTCTCCTCCTCCTCCTTTCGTTCCTCCTTCTCCTCCTCCTCCCCCCCTCCTCCTCCTCTCATCCTCCCTCTTTCCCCGTCCTCCTTCTCCTAATATTGTTTCCTTCCCCTCTTCCTCCTTCTCCTCCTCTCCGTTTGTCTCATCTTCCTTGTTCCTGTTTCCTCCTCCGTATTATTTCCTCTCCTTCTCCTCCTCCTCCTCCCCATCCTCCTCCTCCTCCTCCTCCTCCTCCTCCTCCTCCTCCTTCACCTCCCCCTCCTCCTCCTCATCCTCCTCCTTTTCCTGCCCCTCTTCATCCTTCTCCTCCTCATTATTTTCCTCATCTTCCTCCTCCTGTTCCTCTTCTCCTATGATTCCTCCTACTTCTCCTCCTCCTCCACCTCCTCCGCCTCCTGCTCCTCCTCATTTTCCTCTCCCTCTTCCTCCTTCGCCTCCTTCTCCTCCTCCTCCTCCTCCTCCTGTTCCTCATCTTCCTCCTCGCTTCCTCCTCCTCCTCCTTCCCACTCCTCCTCCTATGCTAACGATTCTCCACTCCTCCTCCTCCTCTTTCCCCTTCCTCCTGCTCTCCTCCTCCTCCTCCTCCACCTCCTCCTCCTCCTTCCTCTCCCCTTCCCCTCCCTTACCTCGGCTCTCTTCCCTCCTTCCTTTCCCTCCCCCCCCCCCCCCCCAGGCCCGAAGGCGGCGCCGCCGCGGCGGAACTCGGTGGCCCCATCAGCGAACGCCACAGCCCTGCGGCGCGCCCAGATCAAAGCCTGGATCGGGGCCGCGCGGCGGGCCGCCCATCGGGCAGCACCTCGTGGCCACGGCCGTGCATCGAGCAGCAACGAAGCGTCTTGGGCTGCCGGGTGTCGCAGGCCAACGGGTTGACACCAACACCAGTATCGGCGGTGTGCCTCCACCGAGGGAAGATGATCCCGATCTCGGCGAGGGTTGTTTTTCTTCTGGCTTCCACTGTGGCCGAAGTGTTGCAACCAGCACTGGGATCTGGGATCATCTTCACCCTGTGGAGGCAAGCGCCCGTGTTGGTGTTGGTGCCCATTTCCATGCCTCCAATGTTGGTTCACCAGAAACTGTTCTAAGAACCTGTCGTTGTTTGCACGACACGTTCTTGGAACATTTCTGGATGGTGCTGTCTTTTCAACCACCGGGGGTGTGTTCTGAGAGCCTTGCTTTTGCTCTTAGAGCACCTTTCGGTTCTACGAACATGTCGTGGGAGGCCCATTGGCCCACTGGCCCCTGCTCAAGTGCACCGTTCGGAGGGGGAGGGCCTCGCCGCACAACGGCAGTCCTCGCTGGCATGCCTTTTGGTCCTCCCTAGGCTTCAGGGAGGCCCCCCGTCGGAACCTTGTTTTTGTTCTTAGAACGCCTCTTGAGTCGAAGAACGTGTCGTGGACCTGGGAGGTCCATAGGCCCACTGGCCCCTGCTCAAGTGCAACATTCGGAAGAGGAAGTCCCGACCGGACAACAGCAGTCCTCGCCGTCATGCCTCTTCGGCCTCCCTGGGCCTCCAGGAGGCCTCGTCGCCGCGGACGGATTTCGCGGCGACGCAACGGGTCAGACGATGCCTCGCGGGCGGGGTCCGGGGGCGGATGCGGAGCAGGTTCGGGCCGAGAGCCGCGGCGGCACGCTCAAAGGGGGAGGTGGAGGAGGAGGAGGAGGAGGAGGAGGAAGAGGAGGAGGAGGAGGAGGAGGAGTAGGAGGAGGAGGAGGGTGAGGAAAAGGAGGAGAAGGAAGTGCTCAAGAGCGCCCATTGAACGCTTCCGCTCCCGTTTGGGCCTCGGGACCCTCACAGATCGATCCGGCTCGAATTCAATGACGCAGAGAGATGGGGTTTGGGGTTCCGGACGTGATTTGTTGCGATGTGGCATTTGTTTAGCAACGTCGGATCTCAGGGGTGGTTCGAGGATCGGTGGTCGAGGGCCGCGATGCATGGACCGGGATTCGACCGGAGGAGGAAAGAATGCATCAGCGCATGCAAACAGTCGGAGGGAGGTCGGCGCGTATGTCTTGGATCGGCGTTGGGCACGCCATGGAGAAGGTCCTCCTCCTGCATCGATTGCCCCGTGGCGCGCCCCGTCTGCGCCAGGTAGGGAGTCGGGCTCCGACCCCCGAAATCCGCATGGACCTGCGACAGTTCATGTCTATGCTGGCTTTCTGTGTCTACGGCCGGGGACTCGAGCTCAGCTCGGGCCGAACGCAAGGGGGGGATAGGGAAAGGGGGGGGTACGAAATCTGCTGCATGCAGCTGGTTTCGGCCCCGCCGCCTGGCCCATTCCTCGATACATGGGCGCCTCCAGCGCCGGGAGGCGCCGGGAAACTCAGCTACGTGAGCTGATTCTCAAACCCCCCCTTTGCCATCCTCCCCTTTCGCCCGGCCCGATCAGCGTGTCGCTCCGCCAGCCCTGGCCCACCGCGCCCTGGGCGCGACGCGCCATCCACGGCGGAGCCCCCGGGCATCAGCAATCCCGACCTCTGCCCAGCCTCCCGCCCCGCGGAGCGACACGCTATCCTTCAGTCGGGCCTGTCCCTCTACAGGGGGGATATTCCGAAATAGTCAAAAGATAGTCGGGGGACAATTTGTTGAGTATTTTTGACCATTTTTGGCGCATTTTTGGCGCATTTAGATTTATCGTCCCAAATCCGCCTTTAGGGAGACATGCCACATGCCCGACCTAACGCTATCCCCCCCCACAGGGCACATCGCGCGTCGCCGCAGCCGCCGCCGTGGCACGCCGTGCAAAAGTGCCGGGCCGCCCCCCGGAATCGAGGAGCGAGGCCACTTGTGCGCGTCTGGCCCGCTTCTCCGCGTGCCAGCTTGGGGCTCGCAGTCGCGCCGCCCGCCTTCCTCTCTTGGTGGGCCACTGCAGTTTTGCGCGGACGCAGGGCGGCGCCTCGTCAAGCGGGGGGCGTTCGCGGCAGACTCCCTTCACGGTGTGCACTGCTGTGCACTCTGGAGCTCGAGAGCGCAGCAATGGCAACGGCGGACGGGGTTCCTTTTCGAGACTGGTTTCGCGCAGTGCTGGCTCATCACTATCGAACCAGAGACTATGCGGACCAGTCCAGCGTCACCGAGCGCGTTCTATTACTCGCAAAGTGCCTACTCGCAAACGTCAGAAAATGTTATATATATATATATATATATAAAAACACACATTCGCCTCGATGTCAGGTATCGTAAATTCCCCACAGCGGATTCAGGCCACTTGCGAGTAGTGACTTTGCGAGTAGTGGAACTGCGCTTGCGCAAAGCGGAGGGTGGAGGCCTCTCATGCTGGCGTTCGGTTGCCATTGGGCACCTTCTGGAGAACGCTCGGTCCTGCAACGTGTCTGGGTCCCTCCCTTGAAGGTCTCCGGAGAAAGGCCCAGGAGGCAAGTGCCGTTTTAGTAGGCTGCGCCATCCGGGGGATCGCGCCTGAGGTCTGCTCCCGAGCGCAAGCGGGCCTGCTGTCGGTTGCGCGATGGTCCGGCCTGGTCTGGATCGAGCTGGTCCGGGTTGCGCGCCACAGTCGCACTCGGAGGTCGAGGGTGCAACGTCTGGCGAACGGGTTGGACCAGTCAGTTGGCCTCAGGTGCTGTTCATGTGTATTTCGCGGTAACAGGTTTGTGCCACGCCCCAGAAGAAAACGTCCGAGAGTTTTGATCCACCGCCCTGGATGCTCGATGTTCCTTCTTTTCGTCCTACCCCTCCTCGGGGGAGGCAGGGGGAGGGAGGGAGGAGGAGGGGGACGATGAGGAGTACGAGGAGGAGGAGGAGGAGAAGGAGGAGGAGGAGGAGGAGGACGACGACAAGAGGAACGGGGGGGACGGGGAGGGGATGAGGGGGACGGAGGGTTGTGGAGGGGGAGGTGGAGGACGAGGAGGTGGAGGAGGAGGAGGAGTCGGAACAGTGTAAATCCAAGATTCATCAACGATGTTGAGATACACCCTCCCTCCCCACGTGTTAACCTGACTGCCACGTCTTGGCGATCCTGAATCGTGTCAGAACATCACTCCTGAGACTGAAACACCGCGAATCAACGTACTTAACTTCTGTGCTCTGACAATCCATAATCGCTTCAAACATAGCATTTCTGGTACATTAGCCATGGGGAGCAATGGAACACTTGCAAATGTGTAAAACCGAATGTGCGCTGCGCTAAGGCGAACGCCACAGTTTGTTGAAAAAGGGATCCGCCTACAATACGCGAAGCTCTAGAAACATTGTAGAACGAATGAGCGCGGCGCTGGGGCGAGAGCCACATTTTGAAAACGACCCGTCCTCAATCAGGGAAGCTCGTGCAACTGTTGTCTAACGAATGTACGCGGCGCTGAGGCGAGAGCCACGCCACATTTTGGAAACGAACCGCCCTCAATCCATGAAGTTCTGGCAACTGTTTAGAGCGAGTGTGCACGGCGCTCCGGCGAGAGCCACATTAAAAAACACCCGCTCTCAACCCATAAGGTCTTGGACACTGTTGAAAAAGCGAATGTGCGCGGCGCGCAGGCGAGAGCTACAAGGTGAAAACGTCCCGCCCTCAACCCGCGAAGCTCTTGTAGATTTTTCATGTGCACGGCGCTCAGGCGAGAGCCACAGTTTGAAAACGACCCGCCCTCAATCCGCGAAGCCCATGCACATTTCGGAACGAATGTGCGCGGCGCTCAGGCGAGGGCCACATTTTGAAAACGACCCGCCCTCAACCCGTTAAATTCTTGAAGACGTTTCAAACGAATGTGCGCGGCAGAGGAACGCCCCGCACTTCATTTGTGAAGCTGCTGCCAGCTTTGAGACATCAGGGTCATTAGTCGTGAGGAAGTCTCAGGCACAACGCCCGGCCAGCCCTTTGGACCGGCCTCGGGGTGCGAAAGGGGGGAGTAATGTATAAGCGAAAGGAATGGAAGACGAGGACGAGGACGAGGAGGAGGAGGAGGGGGAGGAGGACGGATAAGAGGAGGAGGAGGAGGAGGAGGAGGAGGAGGAGGGGAGGAGGAGGAGGAGAGGGGGAGGAGGACGCGGAGTAGGAGGAGGAGTGGAAGAGGAGGGGAGGAGGAGGAGGAGGAAGACGAGGGGGAGAGGAGTTGGAGCGGAGGAGGAGGAGGCGGAGGGGGAGAGGAGGATGAGGGGGAAGGATGAGGAGAGGAGGAATGAGGAGGAGGAGGAGGAAGAGGAGAGGCGGAGGAGGAGGACGAGGAGGATGAGGAGGAGGAGGATGATGGGGAGGAGGAGGGGGGAGGTATTGAGGAGTGCAGGAGAGGAGAGAGGAGGAGGAGGAGGAGAGGCAGGAGGAGGAGATGGGGAGGGCAGGAGAGAGGAGGAGGATGAGGAGGAGGAGGAGGAGGGAGGAGGATGAGGAGGCGGAAGGAGGAGGAGGCGAGGAGGGGATGGAAGTGGGGGAGGAGGAGGAGGAGCGGAGGAGGAGAAGGAAGAGGAGGAGGAGGAAGAAAGAGGCCTCCGAGGCTCGTCCCCGGGTCGCTGGGCCTGCCTAACATGGAGCGGAACATGGAGCGGAGAAAGTCGCTAGGCGGCCGAAGACCTTCGAAAGCGGGCTTGCTGCCCATGCAGGCCACCCTCCAGCTACTGCTCCTCCCCCTCGTCCTCCTCCGTCCTCCTCCTCCTCTTCCTCCTCTCCTCCTGCCTCATCATCATCATCATCATGATCCTCATCCTCAATCTCTTCGTCGTCCTTCCCCCCGCCTCTCCACGCTCCTCTCCTCCTTCTTCTTTCTTGTGATTATCCTCTTCCTCCTCCTCCCTCCTCCCCTCCTCCTCCTCCTCCTCTTCTCCTATCCCCTCCTGCCCCCCGCCCCCCCCCTCCTCCTCCTCCTCCCTATCTCCCCCTGCCTTTTCTCCCCCTCCTTCTCCTCCTCCTGCTTCCTCCTCCCTCCCCCTCTTGTTTTTCCTCCTCTTCTTTTCCCTCCTCCTCCCTCCTCCTCCTCCCTCCTCCTCCTCCTCCTCCTCCTCCTCCTCCTCCTCCTCCCCCTCCTCCTCCCCCTCCTGGGCGGTCTCCTCGCAATCTACCAACCAATGCGCTACGATCTGCAGTCCCCTGGTCAACACATGGTGCAGCGTACCACGACTCTTGGCACTTACCAGGAATTGTTCAGCATCGTCAACGCGCGTGGTTTCAACAGCTCTTGGACTTAGCCGGCAGTCTTATTGTCACTACCTGTGGTCAACACTCGTATTTCTTTTAACCAGGTCGGCACTTGGAGCCGACTAGCGAATGCAAAGCTATCGTCGGTACCATATTTCAGTCGTTGCAGTTGCTGTGTGCTTCCCTTGACGACGGCAGGACGATCATAGAGGCGCTGACCGATTTCTACCACAAGGCCACTTTCGCGAGGTCCTTGGTGTGCGAGGGTACTTACACGAATTGCTTGGAACATATCGCCGACCAGACTGAGAGGCACTTTGCCGAAGACTGGCGGCAGGTGCGCCAACAGATGGCGAACTGGGCAAAGGAAGCTCGCAAAGATGCGATGGCCAAGGTACGCAGATGTTGTTCAAACCAGGGAAGAAGTTTCTTGGACATCCACTTGTTGACCCTGGTAGATTTGAGGTAACGGGTGATGCGCAGCGTTGCATTCAATTTCGCGCCGAGCGTCCGCGGGCGAGATGGCAACAACACCCTCGTGACAACGAGCTTCTAGGCTCACTGCGACGCCTGAGGGAAGAAACTGCGTGCAATCGAAAAAGAAGGAGCTCCAGAATACACCGGCACACATGTCCTCAAGGTGGCGAAACAGCTCAGGCAATACGCGGCTGTAGGAGTGGACAGGTGGGCGCCTGCACATTCCACTGCGCTTCCTCCAGCAGGGAGGGCTCAATTTGATGTGTTGCTCACGTCCGCTGTGGGTCTCCAAGATTGCCGAGTCAATGCCTTCGCGCATGGTATGCCATGCTGGCCAAGAAGACCACGGATCATCCTGCAGGTGCCGAGCGTGCAGTGGGACTCCTTCCTTCCTATGCCGATACGTATATATATATATATAGAACGTTTTGCGGACGAGGTCTTTCAAATTGGTGCGATGAACGACCAGATTTCTGGGATAATGCTATCAAAGGTCGTCGGCGTTGCAGTCAGCATTGGTGACTCTTGCAGTGGTGAGGCATCATCCCACAGCGGTGGCTGAGTTTTTTCGACATGGAACAGTTTTCTTGCAGCGGAGTCTTTTCAGGGCAGATTTTCCTGGTGCTAGACATGTAGTACCTAAAGATCGACTCGTACATGGCAGTTATCACCTACCTGGCCCCAAGTGTCCCACGTGCTCATGGGGTGTATGCATCTCAAGCGACTTGCCCACAGTGGTATCATCGCAGGTTGCCATGCTGCTAACCGTTCTGCGAGGGCGATGCTGTACCACGTCCTGGAGGCCACGCTCGGAAAGCACGCGGGGACGCACGTTGGGGAATATGAGGGCGATGTGGTTCTCAGGCTAGAAGGCATTATGCCGCCGGTCGAGTAACAGATTGCCGGGGCGCCCTTCACTTTGGCCAAAAGATGCTTGCAAGCGGGCGAAAAAAGATATCAGAAGAGTCGACAACACTGGCACCGCAAGTGGTGCGCGACGCTGTGGCATGGAGGTCCTGGCCACTGCATGTCAGAGATATTGGGTCGGGCGCCACGCGCAGCGGCTGCAGCGAGAGCGCGACGCCAGGTGGCGCGCAGGATAGTCTCGAGGGCTAGATTCTTTTCTTTCTACATCAAGGCACGGCAAGGGGCAGCCAACCTTTTCTTGGCAAGCGTCAGGGCCGAAGCCTCGCGCGATGCCCCTGCGCTTGGGCCGCCAGTTTCTCTCGCGAAGTAGTCGAGGAGTCGCGCGGCAATCGTGGCAGGCTTCGCAAAATGGGGGCGTTGCAATGCGACGGCCATGCTGCTGTGCTATAATGATTTTGATCCTGCGTCGCAAGCGCCGCGTCAGCTGGGCGCGCGGCCGTTGGAGCTTCGGCGCGGACGGGGGCCTCCTACGCGGCAGTCTCAAGCAAGTCTGGATCCCATTAAACGGCATGTTCATGGGCAAAAGAGCGAGCTCGCGATGGCGAGCGGTCGCAAGTCCAATGGCCGCTCTTATCGCAGGTCCCATCCGGGATTGTGCGGGGCGCCAATTCCCCCGACAAGCGGGTCGATGACAATGGTGGCGCTGGGGAATTACAGGACGGGGACACGCTGGACCTCGCGGGCCTTTGTCAGACAATGACCGAAAGCATCCGCGAGCGGCGCTGGAGAGAAGCCACAATGCGCATAGACAGGCAAACCCATGACAAGGGTGAGCCATGCCAGGGGAGAGCCCCCATTCGGTCCAAGCGGGTAGAAGTTGGTGCTGTAGAAACTTTCGCGACATGCGGGCGTCGGCGTCGACCAAGGTCGGTGGCGGCGCGGTGCAACGCCGCGGCGACATGCAGCAGATGCAATGCGGTTGTCGAGGACGCGCTCCACCAGATCTACGGTTGCGCACGCAACAGGAGCATCGCGCACCCACGGCTGGAGTCTACAAGGACCTACGAAATCCCAGTTTGCAGTCCATGGCCCGCAGTCCTGAGCTTCGACAACTACTGCCAGGACACCTCGACCGAGTTTCAGGACCGCTTTCGCGCAATAATGTGGATTGGGTTATTGCAGTCTCGCGGGCGGTCAAGTTGACGCGCCACCTCCAGCCGCCCATGGATTTGCGAACTCGCAAGGGGTCCGATTTCGGGCGAAGGTGGCGCATCTGGGTAGCTCCGCACATTCGGACGATGCTAGAATGGCGAGAACAGGTCGTGGCTGATATCTGCAAGGTGACGGACCCCAAGTCAAAATGCATGGGGCCATTCCTGACGGGAAACAGTTCCTTGTTCTGAGATTGCAGCACTTACGTTTGCCATTGCTACCACGGAAGGACATACTCCCAGATGGGCAAATGCGCATATGATTTACGATGGTTGGCGGGGAGGACGCGGCGTATTAACCGCAGGCAGCAACCTCAGTCGGTGGGCGGCAGTCAAACAAGTGGCGGGCAATTGGCCGGGAGGACGACATTGAGTTGCGCCCGGAAAATTCGATTCAGACCTGGATGAATTTACACAGGACGTCCTGTATCAAGATCCAGAAATGCGTCGGGGCACTGCAGTGGCCGACGAACTGGCAAAGGCAGCAGTGGCGAAGGCACTCGACCATATCCAGCCGCAAGTCGACGAATAGGAAACGAGGGGGCAGCTAGCGGCCGGGATTCATATGCGCGCAGCGGCGGTCGTGAGTCATGTTGCCAGATCCCATGGGTCAGCTTCAAATGCAGCCCAAGAGCTCAAGGACTCCATTGGCGCCGGCGGAGAAGATGCTCTTGGAAATTCAGAGCGGGCACCAGGTGAAGCAGCGGGATACAGACAGGCAAACTAAGTATTGCAGAAGATGCAATCTTTTCTTGGCACGAAGAAAAGCTTGATGGAGTTGCTTCTCTCTTCCAATGTACTGGTTGGAACTGTTGTTCTGAATGCAACGCGCCCTTGCAGCTCGCGGCCACGTTACAAGCGTCCATAGTTATTCGTGACAAGCCTATTTCAAGTGGTCACCGTTGTTTGCTCATGAACGGCCAGCTTTGGTGCCAGTTCTGTGGGCGCTGGGGTCAAATCTTCGCAGCAGGGAGGTGGTCGTCCCAATGAGTTGGTGGTGGTTTGTCCTGGACGTGTGGCACCACGTTGGCCCACCGTCATCAACAAAATTGTGCGCGGGGCTGCCCGCAAACAAGGTACCACGGCATGGCCCTCAGGAGAATCTGTTCGTCCGTGAGCCCCAACACCCCGCCGAAGGAGGCGAGGATTCCGACGACATCCTGGGTTGATTTCTGAGGTCGCCCGCTCGCTTTTGCACCGCCGTTTCTTCCTTGTCTTGCCGCGCGCTTCGGGCGCGTAGGCCAGACTCCTCCTGCTGCTGTTCTTCCTCCTTTTCCTCCTTCTCCTCCCCCTCCTCTATCCTCCTGGGCCCACGGGCCGCCTTGCCTGGGCGAGGCGTCCTGCCAGGTTGGTGTCCGCACGGCTGCGCGCGCCGCGCTCCCGAGCCCCCCCCCGGTCGTCGGAGGCGGTTTCGGAGTGGCGGGGTGATGGTTGACACGGACGAGCAACGCACACAAACGACACGCGCGACCGAACAGCCCACCCGCGACGCTGCGCACCCACGACCAACCCGCCGCGCGACCCGCCCCCCGCGACCCACCCGCGACCCACCCGCGGCCCACCCGCGGCCCACCCGCCCCGCGACACAGCCGCGCTTCGCCCGCCGTGCCACCTGTCACCCGACGCGCGAAAGGGACTTGCGATGGGCATGGGTGCGGGGCGGGTTGTCGGACCTGGCTCCCCTTCGAGCGGGGGCCCCCGTCCGACAACACGCACCCGTGGCGCCCTCCGTCCCCCTATGGGCATGGGTGTGCGGTGTCCGCTCCCCAATCATGGCCAGGGCCGTGAGATTTGCAGGCACCCCCGATGCGGGTGGGTGAGCTGGGGCCAGAGGATCTCGCCGCATCGCCGATGCATCGCCGATGCTGTCCGATGTGGGGCCCGATCTTCTCCACGCGGACGTCGCCGCAGAATC